ATACACACCAGATTAATTTAAATCCACCCGAAGTTACATTTATAATAGCATCACAACGCCGTAAGATTGCTTAAGACTACATGCATTTAACAAAGAAGTAGCGACGATCACAGCTCAAGTGTGTTATTTCGCATGCCGTTACATAAAACATTTACAAATGCAAACTATAGAAAACTCGGCATAGAGGACTTTTCTTTTTCTACTTCCGTCTGTAAAATGCCTAATTTCACACTGATCTAGCGTGCGGAAAGCGTCACTTTATCAAGTCAGTTTCGTTTCTCACGAATCCGAGTCAACTCGGACATTTCCGGGATGTTACCGCACGGGTTTGGAAGCAATCGGATGTTTTCGGAGACATTTCCCACTGTTTGAATTTTAACGTTTGTCAATTCTGACAGTTAAGTCAGTGAATGTATTCATGTTTTGCGAAAATGTACCCAAAAACTAATGGTCGTAGAAAAAGTATAGTATGCAACACGTTCGATAAACTTTTTAACTCGTTTATTAAACACTCGCTCCGCTCGTGTCAAGTAAACTCGTCATTCGAATGCCATTTACCGCACTTGTTGCATAATATAATATTTTCTACTTACGTCTGTAAAATGCCTAATTACACACCGATCTAGCGTGCGGGAAGCGTCACTTTACCACGTCAGTTTCGTTTCGTTTTTTAAGCCACTCGTTCATTAAACACCAGCTCCGCTCGTGTGAAATAAACTATAATATACTATTCTATACTATTCCTGCCTATAAATATGTATATTTATAAAATGAACAACAGTTGTTTTTTTTTTTTTCAGTGAAAAGAGTTCACAAATCCCATCTTAGATATTTTTTGATTATTCCAGTTGATCAGCATAATATACGATATCACAATATTTCAATATTACTATTACAATGACTGTTTGACCAAGAGCTATAATAATGAAATCCTAATTAAAATCAGAATTAACTAAACAATTATGATTAAGCATACCAAATAAATCTGGGAGAGTTTTTTAGAATATAGCTTTTGGCCTCTCCAGAAAATATCTTATTTTTTTTAAATTTTCTTTCACATATAAGAAGCAGATTATAAAATTTTGGGCATAAATATATTATTGTTGACTCATAGCTCGATTACTTTTAGGGACGATAACATTTCTGTGTATATTAGCTCTAGTTTCATCATTATGGAAGGCCAAAACATTTAATAATTGTTGACTAAATGAAAGGTCATAAGTTATTTGCTGTATTTCCAAATAAAATGAAGTATTCAAAAACATGTTCAGTTGCCTTATCACGAGTTGCAAGTAAATAAATTGTATTACGAGACATTTGGCGCTATAAGAAGATGATTCGAATTCAGAACGAAAGTGTGCTCTTTATAGCTTCCACCTATCGACAAATATTGATAAAAATTAGAATTTGGCGCCACATAGGAACACGCACATAAATGGAAAATTTATTTAAATAAACGTGTTTTCGAAGAATTTATTTGTTTTATGTAAATTTTGCTGATATGATTGTATTCTAATATACGTAATTAGATTAGCCCGATAAGTGTCACAGATTTTATTCTAATTTTTATTGATACATTTTAAGTGTTTAGAAACATTTTTTGAAAGGTTCCATATGTTGTTTCTTTCAAAACTGTTTGTTGTAATCTCAAAATGATAGCGGTTTTGATTTGTAGATATTTTCGGAGCGCAACTTTTTAAATTTTATTTTCCCAATTTTACCAATGTTTTGAACTTGTACAAATTTCTTCAAATAAACCATTTTATTATTATTATTATCTATAAAAGGAGAGCTTAATTTATTTTCTCATTCTTGATGTTGGTCACCCATTGATTTTCTTTTTTTCTTTATGGAAAACCATAAAGTTAAAACAATTCAGTTATAGCTGCAATCCGCTGTCTTGACTCAAAGGTGGATGCGTTAAATATTTAAAAAAAGTAAAAACGGCTTTATTACCAAAATGGCCTTTAAAAGTACTACATTAATATAGTTTATCTTGATTGGCAGTCCAAAGACACTTTCGTATTTATGGAGTTATCGAAACACTCATTGTTAATTGATGCAATAAGCAATTAATATTCTACAATATGGTGAAGTCGCCAGGCCCGCCTAATTACGGTCAGTATCAGTCAGTAGTATTAAATCAAATCTGACCTAAATTCACATATCTATTTACATTTTTAAGTATATATAATTGAACTGGAGAGTCGGTTATGGTTACGCCAGGTTCTATTTTTTATTACTATTATAATTTTGGTTTGTCGCAAAATGGTAAGTTTAAAAATTGTAGCCCAGGAATTCCTGCAAAAGTCTTGTTCTATGAATGTCATCTGTAATATTTTCATAGCTGTCTTAATTAGGAGAATTCTCACTTGAGTTTGAACGAAAATTTTGTTATACAATTTTTTTGAAACGTCGTTTCGTTATCAGTGTTTAAAAAAATGGAGTCGATTCGTATAACAAGTACAATAATGCTTCTAACATTAGCACCTAAATTGCATTTTACTACCGGAAACGGTTCAAAAAAAATGCAAGAGATGTAATTTCTTTAAAAGTATATTCTACTTCCATAACAGGCAAGGAATTTATCATTGTCTCCCAAGTAATATTTTTCTTTCCATTATATTTGACTTTGTACTCCCATAAATAATAAATAAAATAAATAGCTAAACCATAAGCCGCTTAGAGTTCATTCTCTAGAAACATATTAATTAATTGATTTCTAACCGCAAATATTCATAAATTCCTGGATTGAAAGTAAACTTGCATGGTTCTAATCCATAATTGATAACTGAGCTCTTCAAAGCAAGGAATTTTGAGATTGAAATATAAAGTAAGAAATCTTTGGTAATTTATGAAAAAATCGAGGATTAAAGAGAAAATCACAATGCTTTTGACTCAAAAAAATCTAGGTCTACAAAATTAAACTTTTTGGTAGACTGATTTCATAATTCTATGCATTTATTTTTATCACATAAGGTTTTTTTGCAATTATTAAACAAAACAAAACGATATTTCTAAAATAATTTATTTTTATTAAGTGAAAAGGTGGAATCCAATTAAAAAAAGTGAAAAAGAAAACGTTCCTCAGACTTTTTTGAGTGAAATCTTCGTCTTTTTGCAAGAAAGATGCATTGTCCGGACATTCGCCTGGAGGATTTTGTCGTGGAGGTTTAACCTCCGTTCGCTCCTTTCGGAATCCCTTGTAATCGTCCCTCAAAAACTTGAAATCGGTTTCTACGCTGTGGATTTAGTTTTTTTAGTGTTTAGTGAATGTTTTAAAGTGTCTAATCGCTGTCGGCCCAGCTGTTTTTTCCCGTTCACGCCGGTTGGAGACGGGACGGGCCCGGATGGTCCGCAGGGTGCCGAGGAGGCAGCGGGGAAGGCCGTTTTTTGCTATCGGTTAAAGACTGTTGAATAATGTTCTTAATTGTTGTTTTCGTTCCCCTCGGAAGGTGATGGATCTGTCCAGTCCCTTTTAATTAAGGCACCCCTCAGGTTTATAAAGTGTCGAACTATAATTGAAAGTGGCCGAGTGATCCTAGCAGTCGTGGCGAATAGAAATAAAGGAGAGAGACAGAGAGAGAGAGAGAGACATTCGGCTGTGTGTTTTGGTTACGCTCCATCTGCCTTTTTATCGTTGTTCCATATCCATTATGTCCTGGTAAATCCTAGCTCCTTGTTCTTCGCTAATTGTATGTGTTTTTAAGGGCATATGCCTTTTTAACATCCAGCAGTAGTCCTCCATCATCGTTATTCTCCATCTGCCTTTTTATCCGCATTCCATTTCCTTTATATATATAAAACCTTCCTGCTTGTTCTGCGAACTGTTCTAAGATTTTTAGGAAAATAGTTCAAGTCTGAAAACAGGAAATGCACTTTCAAACTCATATTGCAACCTAGACGATTAAAGGAATTCGTCGAATAGCAGAGTCCAGATTGGGCTACACAATTTGTTTCTTTGTTTTTTCTTTTGAATCCTTGAACATTACACGAACAAAAATGACAATCATCTCTGTGATTCCTAGGCTCTAGCCATACCATAGGAACATCATAGCTTAAACATTTCTTCCTACCTTTTCGCCAGTTTTGGAGTATGAGTGCAGTATGAGTAGCCCACGACTTGTCTTAGTTGTCAATTTTTGCACCAAAATTAGGGAGGTAATTTTTTTTGCTGGAAGTTATATTTTGCCTTTGCTTGGTTACAACATAACTACCACAGATATAACATACGTTATTTGGATTATTCACACAATGTCTGCTTTTCAAATGTATACGTTCTAGAACACTAGAAATGCGCAACAACGAAGGCAACAGCCGCGAACACAGTATCAAGACAACCAATACAACCAAACTGCGCATAAACAGGTTACAACGCTGTATTGACGCTTCTGTGCCAACTCTATTGCTTTGCAGAGATATCTAATACTATACAGCGTTGCCAAATCACATTTCATTTTATAAAAATAAATATGTATGTATATTCATAAAATAACATTTCTAAGATTAAGACATGCAGACCTGTGTGATTAAACATTTTCATGAATAATCTACATCTCGAACGGTAGTGGGAATATCTCTATGTATCTACCATTAAATATTTCTCAAAAATTAAGTCCATGAGCTGTCAGTCGACTTCGCTTTTTTTTTAATGAATAAATACTTTGACTTCGCGTTCTTCAACAGTTTTACTGCCCAAAATCGGTATAAAAGAGTCAAAAGGTTTAAGAAGGATAATTGGACGGAAATTAGAAACTACAGTAGTAGCGTAGGTAAGCTTTATCATTTATTTAGTGAAACAACTTTCGAAAAGGACTCCAGTGCTTTTTATATTTTTTACACATTTTGTTTAATTAATCAGATTCAGAACTTATTTGGGGTGCTGATTTTCACAATCATATAGTTTAGGTACTTCTGGACGCATCATGAATGTGTCTTTCCAACTGTTCGGCACAAAAATATTTACTTTATCTTTGCACTCAACATTGTAAAACTGCAAGTTTAAAAAATATATTTATTTATAGATAACACATCAACAAATCAACAGTCATTGAACAACATTGGGTACTAAAAATATTATTATAATGATATAAAAAACACGGGGAACTACAAAATTCGGTCCGAGAAGACGACGATTTTGAACTTTCCAAACCGTATTTGTTATTGAACTTATCTGAAACAAAAATGTGTGCACATTATTCCTAGAGATAACAAACTGTTACTAGACCACATGTCACTAAGACTGACTAACGACTAGTGTTTTTTGTTCGATATATTTATAGTGGCACTAAATGGGAAACAATTACTTTTCACCATAATCAATGTACATTATCGTCTACATACTACTCGCAAAAATTTCGTATGAACCCCAGAAAAAGTGAAATCTGATAATTTAATTATCTAATGAGCGCATTTATTTTAATATTTTGCTTGATAACATGCTATGGCAATGTTCGCAACCGAACAAGAACGCATCGATAGTTCATTGATATTCAATAATGTCATTACATAAAAGTTTTACGGAACTTGGTGCATACGGCGGAAGAATAAATTTTTAAATTGCTAAAGTACATCTGCAGAATCCATTAAAAACCATTTAGTTTTTGAGAATACAAATAAAATTAGTTTACCATTGTGATTGGTATTGTACATATATGGAAATGTGCTTATTGTGAAATCTACCACCAGCCTCCGTGCCAGTCGTCATGATGATGATGATCGTCGTGGTGATGAACGTAAACTTTCTTGACTACTGGAATGTGAACCGGTACGTGTATCTTCTTCACGTGATGGTGGTGGACGGTGTGAACTTCATGGGGTACGATAATTTTCACATGTTCGCTGGAAAATTCAAACGATGCATTGTATCACGTCGAAAAGAAATATCGATGTTTTTGCAAAATAGCTTAAATTGCGGAAAAGCAAGCTTTACTAAACTCTGAATTCATTTGTTTATTTTCAAGTTAAATGTTGATATTATAGATGGTGTAAAACAAGGTTTTTTTTCTCTATACGTTAAAATAAACTGTTGGTTAAAGTTACATCCGTTTGTATTTAACTGTACTTTGCTTATTCTATGTCCAACGTAATAAACAAACGCAAGGGGTCGCTGTCTATAAACTAAAACGACATTCCGTGTTTATTCAAAAATTTTAAATGCAAAAGTACATCTGTGAAGTAATAGCAAAGAGGAATAAACACTAGCGAAAACCGCATCTTAACATCTTTCAAACCTTGTGAAACAATGTTTTGCACTTCTTGACCAAACTTTACCAAAATGTAGGTCGTTTCAGAAGCGTTCTGTATTAGTAACTCTTGGTAACTTAATTATTACTTATTAATCCATATGACATTATGATGTTCGAGTATTATTATAAATATCGGAACCAAAGTAAACAAATCGTTTATCATATTTTAGGATCGTGATAATCAAAAACGCACGATGGGGTTTTTGCTTTCTTTTTAAACTTTTATTTCTCTTTACTATTACTGAAAGTTAATAATAGTTAAAAACATCTCTTACTGCCACCCCCACCACTTTATTAAAACAGGTAGTGCAAAGCAGTTTTACATTTTCGTTAGTTAAAAATATATGGCACGGTAGATATGGCATTTTCTTACTCGCCATAAGAACACGCTTTTTAGGAAACTAATTTCCAGAAATTTCGCATAGCTTCTTTTCGTAATACAATTTTTTTTCCATAAGCCATACTGCTAATTTTGCAGATCTTACTAGCACTCTAGACCATTTTATTCTAGCAAATAGGGCAAAACTGTTTAACCAAAAAAAAAAAGCAAATTTGCTAAAGAGTTATCCATAACACCTCTTCTCTAGCCATTCTACGAAGTTTAAAATATTTTTCAGGGATTTCTAGTCTCCTCTTTTGAGAATTTTTTTTTCAATAGGTCACACATTTGGAGATACGGCCAACGCTTAATGGGACACCCGGTACATTTTTTGATTTTGTGCAGTATTTATTAAATTTCCTTTTTAATCGTAATAAACAAGCACTACAGGCTAATATTTTCGAACAAATGCTCATTTTATTATTGCGTTAACATTGCGATGGAAAATTCCAAAAGTAAATTCCAAAGCCTTCCGGGGTTTCCCACAAAGGCAAAAATGGCTAACTAGTAGACTGTAAATAACGAGCCGCAACCCAAACAACTTGTTTTTTGACCCCATTTCTCATTTCTCTTAATACCTACGCAATAGCTCGATCCATAAAACTGCGAAATATCGCAATTCTGAAAAGGTTAATGGATACGCGGAAAAGATGGCGACATTATTCCAAGCAATACGATTCGAGCAAACTACAAATATAAGCATATATTTGTATGTATGTCAATTTCTAACCTAGTCGTAAGTTTCAATATATTTATTGGGGTCTCCTCAATTCTTTCAATTAGAAAATAAGAAAATAGGAAAACATGTCATAACCGATATTCGATTTTATTACATCTTAGAAAAACTTTATGATTTTTCGAATACATAGTGAAAATTACCAAAGTTTTAAGAATCATACAAATTTGGAATTTCGTTCCGGAAATTTGGAAAAATGTGCAATAGTGTATCTCCATCATTGATCAAAGCCTCTAAAAAGTGTCTCAAAAATGTCGCTTAAAATTAAAAGATTTGCAGTTTCAAAATATTTTCAGTTGCACAGGGTGTTTCACAAAAGCGCGGCAATACAAAAAGATACCTTTTTAAATGGAACGCAGTATATATTTTTTCATATTACCATACTGAAAATATTTAAAAAACATGTCTTATTATATCTTGCAATATGTTGCCTGTTTGTTGGCGGTTTTCTAAACTCTTGCCAACTTGACGAAATTTAAAATAATTTTTCTCTGATTTGTGATTAAAAAATATTGTTTTCACTTGCTTCGCTTTTGTGAATTGAGAATATTTTTAAATGTTTATGAAACACTGATTAAAGCAGTAATAAATAATAAATAAATAAATCGTACTTCGCAAACAGAGATGATTCTGTGATAAACAATATGTATAAGAACATAAAAATAGGAATTATGAAGTTTTTGTTATTTTTTTAAATATCAGTAAAATATTTAACAGGAGAATACTAAAAATAAGTTATTTAAATCTCGGGTAATTTTTTCGATTCGTTTTCCTTTTGGTGCAAATCATATCTCATTATAGAAAGTAACTTTATAAATATTTATTTATTATTATTATTATTTATAACTTAAATTTAGTGAACTTTTAATAGAACATTGATGGAAAGGGTATAATTTAGTATAAAAAAACAAAGAAATTCGGAAGCTTCTTCAGTTTTTATAGGGTATTTACTAAAACGTAATACCAATTTACCAATACTTTAAGGAAATAGTTGCAGCATTGGAAAGTTAAGCCATTGTGAACATTTTAAATTAAATTTAAAATATGTCCTCATCCGACAAAAAAAAAGTTTATAGAAGACATGGTCGTTTTTTAATTAACACTTAACACTCCATTGTGAGAAGAATGCAAACCAAAGGAAACCGTGCTTGTTTGTTCGTTTGTTTTTAATGTCGGTAGCAATTTTTCCACTAGCCCTAAATGTTGTGCTGAGATTTGTCAAAACCCCTGTTACGAATAATTGTTTGCGAAGTTCATAATTTTTTACTTATATAACTACTTACTGATGATGGCTGTAGCCTGGTGCGGCAGCAGCAAAAGCAAGCATCACAACCACTGCTATCACCTACAAGAAAAATAAATGAATATGAATTAATAAAACCGTTTGTAGTCTTCGTACACTGACGATATTCTGTTTTTTTTTCTTTTAAATCTTTCGCACTTACAACGACTTTGATGTAGGCCATTTTAACTAGAACCCCGGTGGCACTATTCCACAAAAACGAGTCAACCAAAACAATAACAATCCAACGGCGAATGATACAAATTCGAATGAAAAGTAAAGCTTATATGGAACCTCCATTTGCCCCACCCTCCGTTTATCAGTAAACCCTCGGCGGTGTGTTGCGTTGTTACGTAAAAGTGGAAAAAATTCAAAACCAGACGTCGTTATGTCTGATTTGAAAATTTCAAACGGGAATTATGATGCAGCGAGAGTGCCGTAATATGGTAATAAGAAATACCTACTTTTACAAGTATTTGTATCGTCTGCCGCCATCGAAATATAAACCGGATTGCGTGCGTTCGAATTAAAGAAAGCTGACAATTTTATTGTCTGCCGATTTTGTTGGTTTAACGGGCCGATGCAATATAATCGGTTTCCGCAAAATATTGTGCCCAAAGAGAAATATTATCTCGAACCATTTAATACATCGAAAATAAGAAGGTTAAAGAGACAAGAAGACGCCCTCTAGATTCTGTCAATTTGTTATTGATGTACAGGATGTCCGAAATAAGGTTCCCTACCCCCTTAACTCAGAAACTACGAACGATGGAAAAAAGAGTTGAATAGTAAAGTTGCATATATAAGGGGTGTTTTTTTCGATGTATAGAACTTTAAATTGCAATAAAACAACGATGGATTATTCGATTGACATGAATTTTATTTATCCGAAAGATAATCTTGTCCCATAATCTGGCGCGGATGTAGTCCAATCTGGACGTCCAATTTTCGATGATTTTTTCCAACATTTGTGGCCGTACATCGGCAATAACACGGCGAATGTTGTCTTCCAAATGGTCAAGCGTTTGTGGCTTATTCGCATAGACCAATGACCTTACATAGCCCCACACAAACTAGTCTAGTGGTGTTAATCAGAAGATCTTGGAGACCAATTCACAGGTCCAAAACGTGAAATTAGGCGGTCACCAAACGTGTCTTTCAATAAATCGATTGTGGTACGAGCTGTGTGACATGTTGCGCCGTCTTGTTGAAACCACATCTCCTGGACGTCATGGTTATTCAATTCAGGAATGAAAGAGTTAGTAATCATAGCTCTATACCGATCACTATTGACTGTAACGTTCTGGCCATCATCGTTTTTGAAGAAGTGCGGACTATAAAGCGCACCAGACAATAAGTTTTTCTGGATGTAACGGTGTTTCGACATACACTTGAGGATTAGCTTCGCTCCAAATGGAAATGGAAACCGGAAGTGCGCTTCATCGCGAAACAAAATTCGCTTATGCAAATCGGGAACAACGGCAATCTCGTTTTGGGCCCATTCGAGGAATCTACGCCTTACTTGATGATCGTTTGGCTTCAATTCTTGCACGAGTTGGATTTTGTAAGCACGTAAACCAACATCCTTCCGCAAAATCTTCCATAAAGTGGATGGACAGAGATCCAATTTCTGTGCTTGATGGCGGATGGACTCATTCGGGTCTTCCTCAATGCTACGCTCTACAGCAGCAATAGCTTCTTCTGTACGCACCGTACGGCGTCTCTGGGGATGCGAGTTATCAATAAGAGTAAACGGGGTGCGACAACGTTCCATGGTTAATCGAAGTAACTGCTCTGATGGACGATTTTGTCGACGATAAAATGGACGTAGTGGGCGATACGTATTCCGCACAGAACCATTATTTTCGAAATAAAATTGCATTATTTGCAAGCGTTGTTCAGGCGTGAGTCTATTCATGATGAATTGCCAAACCAAACTGAGAATAAATCCCTTGACAGCTGTTAAATCGGTCGCCATCTTGAACAGTAATGCCAACTTAAAGTTCTATACATTGAAAAAAAACACCCATTACAAGGTGTTTTGTTTATCTAAGGTAAATACTAGCTTTCTTATTTGTATAACATTGCTTTTTTGGATTCCCTGGGAAATTCCAGATATTTTTCTGGTATGTCTTATATCTAAGTCTAACCGCTTTATTTCAAAAATGACGTTTATAGACGAATTAACAATTTTTACCATGAGGGAGCGAGCATTATTTATTTTAAAAAATTGGTCTTTCACGCTTTTTATTATTTAATTTTTGTACTTCACTTTTTCTCACCCTGTATTAATTTGCATTCAAAATATCCTCTCCGGCCCCCGTCCACAAGAAATCCATTCAAAATTAAATAATGAAGGCTCTTATTAGAACTTTTTTTAATTATGTTAACGGTAAAACTTAGGTAATAAAGTCTGATATCTACCTCAGATGAACGACACACCCAAATTTAAAGATCTAGATGAAACTATACGGACAAGAAGCTACGTCAAATTCTTGGGAGCACAATATGTTGATTTTACCCGACCTACCTTGAGATTTTAAAGCTACATTGTGTGAAAAATTGAATTTGCTCTTAGTTGCTCCTAAACATCTTTTGCACTGAGATAAGCCAGATTAGATCATCATATTTTCTCATCAAAACTATAGCACCGATTCTCTAAGGGTTGAGAATCGCTTTTATTCCATGAATGAAATATTTTACAATGTTTTTTATACTGGGTATTTCAAAATCGTTTCGCTAATTTCTTTAGTAAAGAGAATATTAACAAAATTAAAATTAGTTTGGCTAAATACTTTTTGCAATATTTTTACTTCCTTCCTATTTCTGAAACATTCATTATTCTCTGAGATATCTAAATAATCAAATAACTTCAACTTCAGGTTAATTTTTTTTTACGACAAATTTTTGAAGAGATGTAATTTTTGTCCAAAAAATTAAAAATATTTCCCTATAAGGAAGTGTGTTGGTGGGATAAGCGGCGCTTATATACTCTTATCAAAATATTAAAATTTTGTTAGCAGTAACTTTTATGACCCAATATTTTGGACCAAATTTCGTTTAGGTTTCCCGTTTCAAAAATAAGAATTTCAATACTGACTCGGTTATCTTATGTGCCTAGAGCAAGGTCTTTGATTGTGTCTTTTGTAAGCCAAAATGGAAACGTATGAAATTCTCGAAGCTTATTGAGCTTATTTAACAACTGTTAAAACCTGCGATTTAGAGTGCCACAAAGCTCAGTTTTAGAACCATAACTATTCGTCATGCATATTAATGAACTTAGTGGTCTAAGCTTTGGAAAATAAGATCCTTAAATGATATGTCGTTTAAAAACAAGGTTCATTCATTTACTTTTCACTGTTTATTGTTGAATTGAAAGGCAAACTAAAATGTAACACAGATTTCTTCATAGTTAATAGTTAAATTTCCACCATTAGATTTGTTTTTTTTTGTTATTTAATTGTTTGTATTGTTGTTATTATTGTTTAAAACTTTTTTTTTTATATTCGACAGCATTCACATTTATATACTTTTTTCTGTTTATCTTTATTTTAAATCGTATTTTAAATGGGGTAAGATTGGTAAGAGCAAAGAAACTGTGATTAATTTATTAGAAAGGATTCAATCATAGAATATATTGAGAATTCCATTTAAAAACTCCTGAACTGCCTGAATCCTTCATCCACCTTCTCTTAAAACTATTGAGATTTCTTCCAAGAATCAAATTGTTTAATTAAACACTGAAAAAAAGAGGTGGAGGAAACTCGATAGGTGTTTTTGTCGAAATATTTTCGGGTTCAGTCGCCATGCTGTATAAATTGCGAAATTCGACACTATTTTGTGCGTATTCGTAAACGTCTTCGATTCGTCCTAAAAATTAATTCCTAATTCGTTGAATAATTAAATAACAGGCGAATCTACGATGAATAGAAACGAAGAATCAATAAGCTACTATTTGATATTCGGTCGGTGTCTATGGTGAATTGTATCGGTGACTTTAGAAGGCGCTTATTGAGTAACCAGCACGACTAGGTTTCGGATTATCACATCTATCACATTATAATGAATGCGTCGGTTTCGAAAATCGCAGGAGTTTTCCAAAACAGTCGAAAAACCGAAAAATTAGGTAATTTCTGCCACATTTGGAAATTAACAAATTCAAATGTATTTTAATGTTCATGATGCAACATGGATTTGTCTAAAAAAATTCAAACGATTAAAACACTCCTATAAAGCGTAATTCACGTTGAGCGTTCTTTTAGAAATTCAAGAGAACTAAATAGTTCTTTTTTAATTTGGTGTATAGCCATAGTGCACCATACTATTTGACTTTGAAAGTACAAATGAAATGCCATGTAGCACATTTTTCGGTTTTGTACAAAATTTTGAGAAACTTTTGTTAATATTTCCTTATCTGTTTCCCTTACATCAGAAAAAACATATTTTTTTTGTAGAAACGACCGCTTCATTAAAGCTTGATAGCTTTTTGCATAAGTAAGCTAGCTAACTTAAATTTTTAAAGAGGTAAGCGTATACATTTGTTTGAATGATCAATGGGAAGTAGCTTGTACAGGGTGAATGATTGACCTTTTAGTATATGATGTCAAATATATGGAGTTGTTCTTTAAAAAAAGGTTTTTATTGTTACTACTTTTTTTTAAAAAGTAATATTTTGGGGACCCTTTATTAAAAAGTACTAATATACATGCTTTTTCATTTGAATATTTTCGATGTTGTTGTCTGCTTCGAGTTGGATTGGCAACGCTGCGGGTGCGTAAATATTTCATGAAGATAGATCATGGCGTATCCCAAATGTGAATAAAAAAGACATGTTTAGTTGTCCAGAACTTCTAATATGACACTCAATCTTAATAAATTAAATAAAAGAAAAAGGACATTTAAGGTCCAGACCGACTAACTTGACGGTTCTGCGAAGATCATGTTTAGTCGTTGCTATTAATTAATTTCTTACCTTTTATATTAAAATTAATATGAAAGAAATTACAAATTTTTGATTAGTTTTCATCTTTCATGCTTCTTAAGTCAATACCATTTATTAAATCTTAATGAAAACACTTTTTCTTTAGAATGAGCGCCGTCACATCGAAGGCATTGATTCACTACACTAGCGGCAAGTTTATTACTTCAGTAACCTATTGGAAAAACAAATAGTAGGTAATAAAAACATACAATTACTATATTAATATCTCTTGGCAGGATTGGTTATGCAAATATATAAATTACAATCGCTTGTTATTATTTTATTTAAAAAAATACACTAAAATAGATTGCTTTTAACAAAATACTATAAAACTTAAAGAAAATATTTCAATAAGACCTTTTGGTATTGAAATGTTCAGGTAACTAATAAAAAACTTACAAATATACATAAATATGTTTAAAATTTTCGATCTCATTTAATGAAATCAATTTAAAACATAAATAAAAAAAACAATTAACAGTAAAAATTCAAAACTTTTAATTATATGAAAAAAAAACAATGGGACGATTTTTCTTGTTCGATGTTGATTGTAGAAAGCTGAAACACAAAGTGATAATTAAATTACGAGAACATACCTCAAACCTTAAACACCTTTGTTATTGGTGACTAGCTATTTGTAGAGATATTCTATGTAGAATCTACCACACTATCTGTCTGTCTCTAAATATGATGATCGTGGTGGTCAATATGATGTTCATGATGATCATCGTGATGATGGTGGTGATGATCATCGTGGTGATGATGATGATGATTATCGTGATGATGGTGATGATTGTCATGATGGTGATGATGGACCGGAATGTGATGATGGTGGTGATGGTGGTGGTGAGGTATGTGATGATGATGCAAATGACTACTAAAAAATGAGAATGAATTGAAGACATGTTGTTTAGTTATTAACATTAACTAAATAATTAACAACAATAATTAATTAATCATATTATCATCCTCATTACTGGTGATGATGATGATGGTAACCATGGCTATGATGGTGGTGATGATGGCTGTAACCGTGATGATGATGATGATGGCTATGTCCTGGTGCAGCTATAACTAAACCTATCAGTCCTAGAAGAAGCACCTGCAATTAGTATAAATTCGTATTATAAACAATTGTTAATTGCCAATGCATGTTGATATTTGGAATTGTGAAGCAAGTATTCTAAATAATTGAATTTTAAAGTTTTGGTTAGTGTTATCGAGTTACCTACCCATATAAAACAGTACGTCGAAGTTTTATATGCTTTTTAATAGTACTTATATTACAAAAAAAAAGATCATCGCAACTTTGATAAACGAATGACTGAAGCATTTTTGAATATATTTTAGGAAAAGAACACCCATACTTTGGTAGACTTCATTAATTTTATAGTTCACTTCTTAAAACTTACCATAATTTTAATATAGACCATATTTCGAACCCCGTGGCACTATTCCACACAAAACTAAGTCACCAAAAACTCTGCAATGTGATGTACATACAACGCGGTATGGATTATATAGAACTTCCGCATCATCCCCTTCCATGTACGTATAACCGTTTATCGAAAAAAAATCAATATCGGTGATTGGCAGCAATAAACGCTATTAATTACCAAATGTGGGTACCTGAATATATTATCAGTCGATCATTTAATCCAAAGTTGTGTGCATTTGTTCAAGCAAGACAGTCGACAGTGGGGTGTAATTTAGCTTGCTGCGAGTCAATTAAGTGAAACTCTTGAATAGGAAGAAGTGAACTAACAATTTCCACTTAAAACATGCTGTTTCTACTTATGCGTTCTGCAAAAATTCACTTTCCGTTTGAATATACGCATTTAAATATCTAAAATTTATAGTAGGACATTGGCATTGACAATAATTATTAATATCCGGCATACTTTAAAATAATTAATTATTAATCCCAAAATTTCCAAACAAGTTAACTTTTCTTTATATCTTTAATCGCCTGTCCGTAAAGTCCAAACGCAGTTCATGCTAATACTGGAAGTATTTAGCATTTGTAAAATAAGAAAAAACTACTTAAATTTTTGAAAAAATTTTAGCATAACACCAGCTTTATTCCAAATTGTGTGACTAGTGTTGTTTGAAAATAGATGATACAGAAAAGAATAGGCTCTGCAAGCCGACACAGCAATGATTAAATGTATCATAACATATTCCGATGGCAGAAAATTAGATCGATCATTTTTCAATTTGGCTATCCTTTGAAGTTCAATAGCAAAAAGGTATTTTTCCTGGCTAATAAATTTCTATGGGCTCTGGACTTTCGCACCTTCAGCAAGTGGAATTGTTTTTAGATTCATTAGAACAACCCTATTGCTACTCATTGCTACTGTTCTGTTGTAGTTGTAATTTCCTTTATTTTTTATTTCATTTTACATCTAAGTTTTGTCTAGCATTCTTATTGTAAACTTTGTAAATATACTTACGTATATAAACATACTTTAATTTCGTTAAAAGCTTTGTGTATTGTAGACTTAATGGATTCATGTTATTTGCAATATTTTCATAATTGTATATTATGCAATAAGTGTAGCAAATGACATTTGAGTCACTAGTTTATTTGGCGCGAGCGCAGCGAGTGTTTAATAATATCCTGGAAATGTCCGAAGTGGCTCGGATCCATGGGACACACATGGCAAAGCTATCCGCTCGATAGATCGGTGTATAATCAGGTATTTTACAGAAGAGAGTAGAAAAATACATTCAACAAGTAATTTAAGAGAAATTCTTCTTGTCTAATTATTAATAAGATTCCTAAAAATTAGTAACCAGCAATTAGTTCGCTTCACTCCAAGCTACTCGCGCAACTACCTACCATCTTCCACACACCCAGGAGCTTGCACTGAGAATTCGGCATGGCGGCCTTTGTTTTTCGTCGATAGGTTTGTGTAGTTAGATATTGCGTGCATCCAAAACTTTAGAGTAAGGAGTGGAAAAAGATATTTACGGGACATATTAGTAAAATACGCTCAATGTGAAATATTGAGAAAATTTTAGTCGAGTAATTCATTTCAATTTTTAATAAAGATATTAAATAACAACATCTAAACTTATTTACAAATTTTCAACAACATATTTGATTGTTCCTAAAATGTAATTTACATTACATGTTTCAATTTTATAATAATAATTTTTGTTTCTGGTCTAATCAACATCTAAATTTTTGTGGTGTATAGTATAGTATAGCATAGTACCGAAATCCTAACCAACCAACTAACCAAACCCGTAGCTAAGCACAGTCTAACACTACGTTTCAATTATTTACTCCTATGTTTAAATATTGAGTTTTTCTATATTGGTTGTTAATGATCAATGGTGATATCCGGTATTCTATTTTCTACTATATACTTGCTATACGTCATCCTCATCTTTTTCAAAATTTACCTGGCAATACGTCAAGTAAATCGCCTATCGTCTCCAATAGTTATTGATAAATTGAAAATATATATTTTTTGGGTACTTGGAATTTCGAGTCTTCTTTATCGAATGCAAATATTTTGAAGCATGCAACGTTGCTGCTTTTAACAATCACGTATGACAATATTCAAGAGTATAATCTCTATTTTGTTGAATTTAAAATTTATAATTCATTCCGATTATTTTTCCTTATTACTTTCCTATGCCTACCTAGTGCGGTTTTCGAGAAAATAATTATTTTTCTTCAAGATACGGATATAGGAAAATAGAAAATAATTAACAGTACAAAAACCATCTGAATTAAAAAGTAGACATATTAAGCAAAACTACTCAGAAGAGCGCAGGTAGTCTAAAAATATAATAAGGGTATAGGTTATGTTATTTAAGTTAACGATGCTTCCACATTCTGTTAATAAAAGCGGCGACATTACATCATACACAATATTCTAGTTCTATAGAGCAGACTCTCAAATCTATGTATTCAACTTTTGGAAACAATTACGCAAAATCTATTCAATCATAAAGAAAGATAATATAACTTCCAAATATAACCCATACTGACAAAAATTTTGTCTTGCTTTGAGTTAAAAAGCATCCGCCGCCAGATTAAGTAAGAATTCCTAATTACAGAATATATTGAAAACAGAAATAAGGTTATGATTAAACTCTACACGTACGCAATACAAACAGACTAGAAGAAATTACTACAATAATTAAAAGTCAAATATTTTTGCTCTTATAGTACTAACAGAAATTCCTAAAACGAGTTAACAATACTTAATACTGCTTATTAATTTAAGTACTTCGCTATGAAGAAACCAATCTATCAACTACTTCGATGTTTTCGATTTTTCCTACTTTTCCTTTTTGGACTTTCCGAAGGTTCGATGTGTTTCTTGAATATGTTATGCTCGTGACCACCAAAATGATCGAGATCAGAGAATTTTTCTTCTTCCAGCAGCTTGTGGTGGTGGTGCACTGGCACGGGCACTGCGACCGGAACAGGTTTCGGTTTTTCTATTACGTAAGTCTTTTCCTTTTCGTGGAAATGATGATGGTGCTCCGGAACTTTGATGATCTTTGTGTGATAGACGGTTTTGACCTTGACAGGAACATGAATCCTGTGGTGCATGCTAAAATATGTTAAAAATTTTCAATCGATTGGTTGGTACATTGACTCTAGACCAAAAAATATCTCAAAAATGGCCCCTTATAAAAAAAACAATAATTTAAAAAGAAAAAAAGGAGAAATTAATGTAACTTTGGACAACATACAAGAATTATTTTTGTTTTTAAAATGATGCAACTTTGTCTTAGAAACTAAATCTTATAGCTCTTAAATACAATTAATATAAATTAATCACGACGCTGTATGGAACAAAACTAACCAATACCAAAATACCAATGGAACAAAACGTGTCAAAGGGTAAAGAGTCAGATTTTAAATCTGATTTTTATTGCTGTGATTATTTCTATAACGATGAATCTCACTTCTATATAGAAAAATATAAATAAAAAAGCTCCGTATTGACCGAACAATTTATGTTTATGGATTCACTGAAAAAATGAGACAATTGCAGTACCATCTGCAGCTGATAGACAGTTTTGTTTAGTTTAGTTGCTAATATTCTGCTGAACTAGCCCGCGTTGTGTAATTTTTTTATTTGTTTTATATATTTATGCTATATATTTTCAACCAAATGAAAGGCATCTGAGTTTTTACAGTGGTAGTATTTCAAAAATGAAAATATTAACTTAGAAAAAAGTAACCCTAATTTTTATTCTAAATAAAATAAAATACGTTATTACATCGTTTGAAAACATTTTTTTTTTAAACTGCATTAATGGTCACTAACTAAATGCTTTCTTCTTGGAAGAAAATTACTTGATCGAAATTATAAGTGATCGGATATGAGAATAAATTACACACATACTTTGGTCTTAAAACTTTATTATGGTTAGTAAATTAGCTATCTCATAAATCTGAATCCTTGGCCAAGGAACGCGATACAAAAAATATGTCTAAAACTTTCAGGGAAATTGAAAATGCCAACAGTATAAAATAAGTAGATAGGTAAGTTTTTCTTTTTGGATTCTTAAACGCCACTGTTCCTCATATTTAAGTCAATAGTACTGGATTTCTTTCTCATTATTCTTAATTTGCTGTATTTTTTGTGAAGTATTTCGCTCTAAAAATCTTTTTCAATATATTTGTGGAAAGAACCCTTGTATTTTTTTCATACAATCGCTAGTTATTGTTATGGAATGGGTTCCAATCAAAAAACAACACTTTTCTATTCCAATTTCTTTTGGTTGTTTTGGTTTGGATGCTGCTAATTTTGAGCTTAAAATCAGGCTGTCAAATATACATCAATATTAAATTAAAATGTTTAACAAAATAAATAATGACAGTTGTTTCGACAACACCTTGTCTTCATCAAATGTAATATTTACAAACTTTCTGCTACTATATATACCGAAAAATGACAATAAAACCTTAATTAATGTTGTTGTGAGAATTCAAGTTTAATAATGGAGAGGTATTTGAATCTAATTGACCGTTAAGCAATATAAGCAACTAATAGTTAAATTATATAAACAAGATATGTTCGTTAGACCAGTCGTGTCTAATATAACGGCTCCAGCAGTTAAATTTTCAACAAAATTAGTAAATATTTTAAAGTTCCACACAGATTTTAAACCAAAATTTGCAATAAAATATTCTTTTGAATTAATCAACAAAATTAAAAACATCAAAATCCCTTCTAACGCAACACTATTGTCCTTTGATGTAAAAAACTTATTTCCCAGTATTCCACCCATGGATGTGATAGATTTAGTAGATTTCACCCTCACTCGAAAACAGGTTAGCCCATTGGTGAAACAAGATTTATTATATTGCTTAATAGTATCTTTAGACGAAAATTATTTTGAATTTAATGAACAGATTTACATCTCTAAGGAAGGTTTAATTATGGGAAACCCACTTAGTCCTTAGATAGCCGAGATTTTTCTGGATAATTTGAAAAATACCATACAAGAACATCCTTTAAGTGAAAGTTTTCTATGGTGGTATAGATACGTGGATGATGTCTTTGCTTGCTTTGTTGGAACGAACAGACATTTTTTTAAATTATATTAACTCATTCCATAATCATATAAAATTCACTATCGAGATTGAACAGGATAACTCTATTAATTTTTTAGACTTAACTATTACGAAAATTCAAAACAAATTAGATTTTTCCATTTACCATAAACCTTCACACACGGACACAGTCATACATAACAGCTCAAATCACCCTTATACACACAAAATGGCTGCATTTCACTCTTTTATACACAGACTTCTTGATACAGCACTCCCAAAAGAAAATTACAACAAAGAACTTAATATCAATAAACAAATTCCACTGAACAACGGCTACAATCCGTCCATTATCGATAAAATTACAACCAAAAAACAAATCCAGACAACAGTAAACTCTATCCGAAACCTAATACAGAACACGAACAAGTTAAAACGATTACATACAAATTTTCAAAACATTTGTCAAAATGCGGTTTAAAAATAGCTTTCAGAACTAACAACACAATAGGAAAATTTTTGAAAAAAATAACACGAAGTCAAAAATCAGGTGTCTACAGGTTGAAATGCGGATCCTTCAAGAAACGCATTAACGAACATAAAAGAGCGTTTAAAAACAATGGTCTAGATTCTAATTATGCTACACACTTAAACACAGAACAACACATTTTTGACGATAATTTTGATATTTTACATACAGCCACACAAAGTAGAAAATTAAATTCATTGGAAGCCATGGAGATTAACAAAATGAGACATTCAAATATATTGCTTAACGATCAATTAGATTTACATACCTCTCCATTATTAAACTTAAATTCTCACAACAACATTAATTAAGGTTTTATTGTAATTTTTCAGTATATATAGTAGCAGTTTGTAAATATTACATTTGATAAAGATACTGTATTTTGGAAACAATTATCATGTAAATATATATATATATATATATATATATATATATATATATATATATATATATATATATATATATATATATATATATATATAATTTTGTGAAAATCTGAGCTTTTAGTTCTTATTTATCTTGTTAAATGGATTTTCATCAAGTAAAAGCCACCTCAGTTCAATTTTGAAAATATTTAACATCATGCTGCTAGGAACAATTTGAAATTGCAACCGATACAAGCGTTTTGAATTCCTTCACACCTCTTTCGTTTATCTTATGTAAAATTAATTTTAAAAGAGTTCACACATATTGTGAAACAATAAATATTTTATTTATATTGTGTTATGGGCCACAAAAGTAAGTATCGAATATATGGGGAAAGTGGAATATTCGAACCTGCGCGCTGACTTACTTATTACTTTCGATAATTTTGGTGCCAGGTTGGCGACATTTTAAACCCACATTTCTGGCATTGAATAAAGGGGACAATAAACGCAATATGCAAATTACATGTATAAAGCTCAGCAACTTAACAGTAAGTAATTATTGTCTTAATTTAATGAGCGTTTAGAAATCGATATTACTTATCTTTTGTGTTTCCTCATCATTTTCATTCTATGCTTTCGCCAATTTTAGTCACTATTTTGATTTTCCCCTAGCGGTGAGATTGTTCAAAAAATGAAAAAATTGCCCACTATATGCAGCAACCATTAGTTAAAAACATCCCATTATACACTAACTGACAAAAAAATTGCTTTTTTTTATGTTCGTTCCATTTATTTTAAGTACGCTGTATCATTATATATTTTTGTTTTTGTGGACGGGATCACACAGAGATAAATCATCTTTTTTCTCATTACAGCTTTAAACTACCCTTTGGAAAACTAAGCCGGACCATTATTTTACAAAGCTTTTATTTTTTAATAAAGCCATAAAAAACATAAAATATCGGACACCAATAAAAAATTACAGTATGTAAGCTAGCCCAACAAGCTATCCTGCTACAAAATTGTTTACTATTTCGAATTTTTCAAGTAAAAATGTTTTTTTTTGCCCAACATTTTAAAAGTTCTATTCGCATGAATGTATACACCCTCCCTCATAATTTCTTCCATAAACTTTGTAATGAATAAGACTTCGCTTGTCCTAACTTTGCAAAATACTGTAATTTAGCTCATTAAGTTATGACCATCAATTATGAGACATCATGTATTAAAACTTGGCGAATACAACCGCCACTACCTAACAAGCACGAAAGATACTTACTGATGATAATAATCTGGGATGGGCTCACATGCTATGGTATCAATAAGAGATACTACCCAGACGAGAAATACCTAAAAATGGAAAAGTTTTTAAATGATTACCTAAAAATTGAAAAAAAAGATTGTCTTAAACCGCAAATAATTGCCAAAAAAAAATTTGTTAAAAAAAATTTGCTAAAAATTACTTCCAGGCTAAAACCAACCTTGCAGCGAAAAATTTGTCAATCAATAATAAACATTAATAGTGGTTGATTGTCAAGGCCAGCGAAAAAAAAATTATATATTATAATGCAGCCACTTCCACTTCCAATTCCTTAAAACGTCGTTATTATTTGCGATAACATTTCAATGTTATTATTAAAACACCAAAAAAGAAAACAACTCACCCCAATAAACACCATATTCTTCATGTTTAGTATACCCATACACAATGAGATGATGGAAACCCTATTAAAATGCTATCGTATACGGTGAAATTCCAACTTATACTTTCCTCCATTTATAATTTCGGAGCAAGACGTTGAAGTGGGGTAAACTATCCGAAACAAACCGTTATAGTCCAACTGCTTTTGTACCTGCATGAGACGGACGATTTTGACCGCGGTTTAAGTATTTCCGTGCATACATAAAATATGTTACAGGGTAGTCCAATGAAAATTTTTATTCTTAGTTTTATGAGAAAAGGTTATTTTTTATAAAAAGTTCTGCACTTCCAAAACTTTAAATATAACCATCATATATAAAATTTGTTGAACCGTATACAAAATTTATCGAATAATATGAATTTTTGTATCTATATTTTTGGAAATATCGAAATAATCAAAAATTGTTATTAAGAATAGTTGATCGCAATTGAAAACTCTGTTATCCATCTCTCATTTTTATAAACTTTTCTGTATTGGTATTGAAAATAATGTATGTATACCTTTTCAAAACATTGATTAATTGAAAAGGATAATAAGCATGCGAGGAAATGACTACAGATCTAATCAAGAGTGTATAACGGCAATTTGACGGAAGGACCATTAAATGTCTGGAAAGAGGTGTGGGATATATTGAGTTTTTAGCAAATTGAAATAATATACAAATTATTTTATTTTCGGTATTGTTATGATTGTTACATACAGTATAACTTTTTGGACTGGTGTGTGATAAACATTTTTTAATAGAAATTGTCAAAATGTTCAATAAATATTGTTCGACAAACCTTGGATTTGGCTCAATTGGAAGTTGGAATACTGATTTCGTTTCGTTTATGACACATACATTTGCGTGCGTACTAAAAGACACGTGCGTCAAATATCGGCGGACGGAAATGAATATTTTAAAAAATCGTATACAATTTTTGCCGATTTGAATTAAATTATCGACATTTTTTCCATTTTAAGATATAGAAAGTGTATGGGGAAGAAGTCGCGGACTATTAACTTTGGTGCTTTACTTAATGGTGGTAAACCGTACACGATTCGCTTTGGAGTGTAGTGATTTACCCTAAATGTCTTTTTAAAAATCTGGTAGGTAGATCTTTACTATATTTAAACATGTTTTTGAATCGCTATTAATTGCTATTGTTAATTAAATTTGTCCGAAAATTTTGCTGTGCATTAAGACATTTTTTCGAAATCTCGTGCAATAATTTATAATAGCTCTCTTATTATTATTATTATTTATAGGACATCATCTTTTAATTACTCTAAATTACATAATTAGTGTTTGTCCATTTTAATTAATACCTTATACCTATTTTTACACTTAAATTCACCTTCTGCTATTTGCTGGTGGTTAAAGTTTTGGTTTTTCCACACAACATTTTATCCACGAGTTTGATTTGTCTCTAGTGGAGCGAGTATTTAATAACTAATACTGAAGAAGTTTATCAAGGTTATTGCATGCTATAGTTTTACTGTTTCTGGGTATATTTTTACAAAAAAGCACAAATACTGAATGACCTGTCAGAACACCGTGACTAAAATCTGCTGAAAATATCTGATTGCTGCCACTGACTAAAGTATTGTCTCCCGTATTATCCCTACTCGAAATTCAAATTTTCGAAAGCTGCGCTCATTTTATACAGACAATTGAAATGGTCAAGTGTTATAAACTTCATAACCTTAGAGAACAATAAAATTGGTGCGCATTTTCTTATTGCTTTCGTCGGCTGATTTTAGAGACTAATTTAACACACTTTTGGTAACGGGAAATGTCATTAATTTGTTTGGCGGCAATAAACAATATCAATCGATAAGTCATAGTAACAAATAAGCAAATTTTACTGGCGTTTCAAACTAACAAATTGTTGTGACTACTCTTTAATAGGCGTATGTGTCAGTATGAGGAAGTCGTTTGGGAGCCTGCCAACATTCTTCTAAACAAAATTTACGATGCAAGACAACTTTACAGGAATATTAACGTAGCTAAGCGATATCTCTTAATACCGTGCCATGAAGAAAAAAGAATTATGTACTTAGCTGGCAGATTATTTAAGCATATGCTGCGGGAAAGTGAGGCGTAAAAGTTATTTAATCGACATTTAAGGTCTTCCTTTTTTACAAGCTCCATATTCGCAACTGAAGAACAACTCGACTTCTATGGTAGAATGGCAATTGTAATAATGCGGATTTCCGATTCCAATTTTGGTGTTTTCTTAAATATGCATTTGGACATAAAATTGAACTAGATGATATGTTTAGTATGACTGAGTTGGATGGACTAAAAAAAATGGTGTGACGTATATTGGAAAAATGAAGATGGTAAAAAATCAATAGGCATCGATCCATTACTGGACTAAGAGTAATTTAAATTTTTGTAATTGTTTAAAAAAATGAAAATAACATAAAACATCGATTTCTGAAGTTTCATAGAGTTGTATTACAATTCTTTAAATTAATACTATGTATATATATATATATATATATATATATATATATATATATATATATATATATATATATATATATATATATATATATATATATATATATATATATATATATATATATATATATATATATATATATATATATATATATATATATATATATATATATATATATATATATATATATATATATATATATATATATATATATATATTTAACGCCATTTATGCTGTGAAAAATCAGAGAATATTTCATAAAATACTCTTGCAACTACTACTACGTAGTAGATTTACCGAAAAATCAAAATCTTAAAATAGGTTCTAGCATAAAACGTCGATCTCTAAAATTTCTCTTTAGCAACAATGACACTTATTTTGATAATAATATACGTTAGCGTACTGAAAGGCACAGTATTATTGCAATTATTCGGAGGAACAACGCAGAAAAAGTGGTATAAATTACTGTATAATTTTTATTCTCGAACTCGTAATCACGTAAACACAAGTAAGGGCATGCAGCACACATATATACTTCAAATATTCTCATCCCGGAAACATCAAATATATATATGAAACTTTATTTATAATATTTATTAAGTATACCACCTTCAATTATTATTTCACCACAGAAAAGAGGTCGGTTTAAGTAAAGTAATGTTGGATTTACATTTCTTCGAAATAAATTTATTCTTTTGTTCAAAAAAAAACACCACACAACAAAAATATCTAAAATGTTCTTCAATTCTTAAAGCGATAGTATATTATGCAATACGTTTTAGTCACTTTAGTGACAAGTTTGATCTGGCACGAGTGGAGCGAGTGTATGAAAAGGTTGATAAATATATTGCATACTACAATTATCCTACTAACATCAGTTTTTGGGTACATTTCTCTCAATGACAAGAATATATTCACTGATATATGACGCCACCATCATAACTTTCAAACGTAAAGAATTACCAAAAATATTTGTAACAATTTTATGTATATTTTAACTGTTGTTAAAAATAGTTTTGGTTAGTTTGTAAGCGTCTTTATTTTTGAGGTTGAATGCGGTGTTGCCTATTTATTGGGAAAAATATAAAATATTTAAAATCTTTGTAATCATATACAATATCAAAAATGGACCTTAAGATAGTCAAATATATTACCAAGGGTTTAGTAAAACGCCCAAGTGGCTATCTCACTTGACGAAATTTAGACTAAAGTTAGCCTAGCGATATACAGTTTTGCAAAGCCCATTCTTTTTAGCACGTGTAAGACAACCCAGGGCCACATTTAAGATGTTAGCAGACAAAAACTATGGCGTGCGCACTGTTGTGTTTTAAGGGTATGGAATTTTTTTTTATTAAACTGTTATATTAATTCATATGAATGTGTTTTTATAAATCTCCCTAAAATACTCCCTACTTGAGGTAGCTCCATTTCAAGTTGAATTTGCCCATTAGATAGGTTGATCTGTTATATTAAAAACACATTAGAAAGCTTAAACTGATTTCCAATATAGGGGTTTAACAGAATGGCTCTCAAATATTTTCCTAAGAAACTAATACAAAATCTTAGGAAGATGATTGACTTGTAATGTAAGTCAGTGTGCCTTTTTTATTGAAGTGGCATATACAGGTTATTACAATTTATTTCTTACCAAATACTGACATTATTCAATTTTGTTAATCACTTGCGATGAAGAAGAATGTGTAGAACATGCCATCGAAGAAGAAAATGTTTACAGAAGTCGACTAGTGCCAAAATTCATTATTAATGTGGGAGACGAGTCCAATGACGATTGTGATTATTTTGATGTAGAATAACTTTTTTTTTAGAAATATTCTAAAATTGTTTTATGGCTAAATTTACTCGGTCATTTATGTTTATAATAAACTTTTTAAAGTAAGAATGGACTAATAATAATCGAGGCATCTCACCGATGAAACTCTACACAAATCCGTTAGCTTTCAGCATTTGTTTGCACGAAGTACCGATCTTTAAAGTCATTGTGGAATTGCGAATCTATTGTTGAGGTTTACAAAGAGAAACTCAAGAGAAGTAGACCTGCGGTTAGACCGTGATAAAAAGTTAAATACCGCATTATGTCATAAAAATGGTATATGCTTGGGCAAACTACACCTTCTCTCTGATTTTTTAAATGGATCGACTGAAGTTTTTCCATAAAATTCGTTCACTTTCATCGCATAGTTACTGCAATCTAGTACTGTGTACACATCTATTTTTTAATATACTTAATATATTTAAATATTGTCAGTTCAAAATTTGAATGGAAAATGACGAAAAGGTTTATTTTGCTGGCTTAAAAACCGTAATGTGAAACGAGTGAAAGCAATTTTGCTGCAGCTTCATCCGCAGGAAATAAAGGAACTGAACAAAGCCTTCGGGCAATGCCATATGGTAAACGCCTGCCCACGTGGATTTGAAAATGAAAAATACTTATTCCATTTAATTTAAACCTGTAATTTACTTAATAACCCTTTCGGAGAATCGATCCGTACCAACTTTAATTAAATTTCATTAGCAGGTCTATTACAATGACTGAGTGACGTGGAACCTAACCACCAGAACTTATAAAGGTCAAAATGCCATAAATAAAATCTACCTAAAACATCGAATCGTTCCGAACCCTTGACGTAATAAAACTGAGACTATAAAGTGATACTTTGAACACTCGTCAATGCGTAATTGGTTATATAATATTGACTTCTTTTATTAAATTTTCTTATGTGACGTATTATATAAAAATACTGTGATATTTCGAATCTTCCATTGGTGAGTTTCTGCCCATTTAATAATAATAATAAATAACTTTTGCAAATCTATTGGCTCTACTCCAAACCACAACTACAACACCAAAATCTAGTTATATACACGACAAAAATGTATCAGTTTCAATTATCAATTTCCCAAAGGCGTATGTGCATATAGTCAAAGATATGTCTATATGATGTGTGTACATATAGTCAAGGAAATGTCTTTGACTGACCCATAAATTGGATCTCAAAATTTTAAATTCAAAAAATCCCTACAGAAAAATATCCTACAGTGGTCCTTATAATCAGTTTAAAGTCGTGATCATTTTTTTTTTAATTTTATGATAATATACAGTATAGTCTAATTACCTATCATTTTTAAATGGTGTATTGTAGTGTCAGTAAAATATGTCATTGGTCACATTTGTTGCCTAATATACTACTTTGTATAAGATTTCTTGAAAAAGAATACCTAACACAAACTTATTACATTAAAATCACAGTCTTAATTACAATTGAATAATGATATATTCAATAATTCACCCCAATTGTAAAAAGAAAATTGAAAGTAGAGAGCGAATTGTTAATTAAAACAGTAACAAATAAAAAGGAGTTTTTCGTCCAAAATATTTTGAAAATGTCCTGCCCCGCTAATCAAGTACCACAGACAAATTTTATGTTTGTGAAACTCGTGAAACTATTATTCATTAATTTAAAAAATTGAGAAGTCAAAGAAGTGACGAATATTCAGAAAAGGCAAAGAGTTTCAGTATTTTAAAGAATCAACGAGTAACTCTTTTATTTCCCTCGTTTTAATTACTTTTTGTATTGTGTCCTGCGAGAAGCAAATATAGTTCTATAAATGTACAGAGTTTGCATAAGACAGGAGTTTTTCTTGAAAAAGTGGAGTGTTTAAGTGTGCCAAATATCGTAGTCCTCTCCTTGTTTCAAAACAACAATTATAATTAACAACTGGCTTCCTCAAAAAACAAAAAAATATTAAAACAGTTTTGAAACAATTACATATAGTCATTCATAATAACTAACTACAAACTAACCAAAAACTAGAATTAATTTTTTTTTGTCACAGAGTAATACTAAATTACGTAGTAATTGTAATTTGGGTACTTGCTTTTTGATATTTTTTATAGAAGAAAGCATGGTCTCTTTAACCATTTTGTTGTAGTATTTTTATGATGCTGATGTATAACAAGCAACAAAAAGAAAGAAGAAAAAGCTTATAAAAATATTTTATTCATTCTAAAATTACATAACAACATCATCAACAAATATTTACAAAACACACATTCACAAACATTAAATTACGACTAATGAGGCACACACTTATAACATATACTTTGAATTTGTGATTACTTTCGATCCCAACCGCCTCCATGGCCGCCGCCTCCTCCATATCCTCCGCCACCTCCGTATCCTCCGCCACCTCCATAACCGCCGCCTCCTCCGTAACCTCCTCCTCCTCCTCCTCCGTAGCCTCCCCCACCACCACCGTGATGATCATGGTGTCCTCCACCAAATCCTCCTCCGCCTCCATAACCACCGCCTCCTCCGTATCCACCTCCGCCGCCGCCGCCGCCATGGTGATCGTCGAAACTGCCTCCTCCAAATCCTCCACCACCTCCTCCTCCATAACCTGAGATGACAAATAAGAACAAAAATTATTTTCGATTGCTTTTTCTACAAACTTCAATCCCCGATCACAAATCACCATCTCTAATTTGGAGAAATATTTTCGAATTGCATGACATCCTACTTTGATCAGTCGCTTAAAATCAGACTCACCTATCTATTTTAAGTAATAAAACAATTAAAAAATCTATATACCTCCTCCACCGTGGTGGTCGTCAAATCCACCTCCACCTCCGTAACCTCCACCTCCGCCTCCGCCTCCTCCGTGGTGGTCATCATGGCCGCCTCCATATCCACCGCCTCCTCCATATCCACCTCCTCCCCCATATCCTCCACCGCCTCCGTGTCCTCCACCACCACCGTAACCACCTAAAATGCAAGAAAATTGTTCTAGTAAATTGAGATTAGATTTAGTTCACTACATGTGAAACATGGAAAAGTTTTAGCTTGCATGTGTTTATCTTATCACTTCTGTTACTCTATGCAATTATTCAGTTACAGCCAAATTTCAATTTTAAAATTGTATTTTATAATACTCTAATATTTGGCGGATCCACCAGTATATCAAGATTGTTATTTAGTAATGCTTAGGAATTTATCAAAAAAATATAGTAACTTATACACCAACAACAATTTAAGAAAAATAATTTAATATAATTGTAAACAAAGAGAAAGTGCCATTTAGGAAAGTAGGGATTTAGGAAGTTGGGAATTATGTAGGATGAAACATATTAAATCTTTCCTAGTCGATAAAATTATCAAACTCTTACAACGTTTCTCGAATCTGTAGACATATATGGTGCCATAAGTATATTTATTAAACAAGTTCCTTTTTTTTTCTTTTATAACCAAGACATATCCCTACAAAAAATTGTTTCATATGTAATATTTTTGAGAAAATGGAAGAAGCTCAAGCTCAAAGTTGTTAAATCACGTGGCTTGACAATTACTATTGAATGAATAAATAAATTAAAAATCTCCAGTAATTTTTGTAATATTTTTTTTTTTTTTAATTCGACATATCTATCTATATATCTAAAATTTGAAACTGTTAGTTTTTGTATTTATAAAATTTCTGAACTTTTAAGTCAAAGAAATGATTCAAGGAAAAAAAAGTTCGTAGTTTGAGTGCTTAAGCAAAAAATTACTTGCAAAAATTGCATGGTTGCCATACAATGTTGTAAAATTACAAAAAGAACATACCTTTTTGAATAAAAAACCTTCAATTTTGGGCTTTTTTTGAAAGAATTATCAATTAAAATTAAGATGCTGTTTACGCAAAGTTAACACCAAAGAAAAATTTCATTTATTCAAAAGCATTAATAAAAACTAAAAGGCACTTAATATTATTCTTATACTCACCGCCTCCCCCACTGGGCAATGGGTCACCTCCATGCAGTTTAATGATTTTCACTACGCTTCCTCCTCCATGTCCTCCGCCACCTCCGAACCCGCCTCCAAAACCACCGCCTCCTCCGTAGCCGCCTCCGCCACCACCGCCGTGATGGTGATCGTGTCCACCTCCGAATCCGCCGCCGAATCCACCGCCGCCTCCGTAGCCACCTCCACCGCCATGGTGGCCTCCACCGCCTCCATTATCTTTTATTATAATCGTGTGCGAAACACCACCTCCACCACCGTGGCCTCCACCTCCGCCATAACCGCCGCCGCCGCCTCCTCCGCCGTGGTGGTCATCATAACCACCTCCAAAACCTCCGCCGCCTCCGCCGCCATATCCTCCACCGCCTCCTCCGTGATGGTCGTCTAAACCACCTCCAAAACCTCCGCCGCCTCCGCCGCCATATCCACCACCACCTCCTCCGTGATGATCGTCAAAACCACCTCCAAAACCTCCGCCGCCGCCGTAGCCGCCGCCACCACCGTGGTCGCTGTGTCCTCCGCCGCCAAATCCACCACCGAATCCGCCTCCGAATCCACCTCCTCCACCGCCGTGGTGATCATCGAAACTTCCACCACCGCCTCCATAACCACCTCCGCCTCCGTAACCGCCTCCGCCTCCGCCGTGGTCGTGTACTACAACCTCTTTAATGATTTTCTTTTCTTGAGTCGGGGCCGGCACGTGAACTTTAATATGTACACTAGGAACAATAATTATGTTAGTTACTTATCAATATCATCAATCAATTAAAAAAATCAAGGAAGGGGTATGCGTTCAAGCCACTAATTAAATACGTACCGCACTAATTACATAGAATTAAAGAAAATTTTTGTGAAGCAAAGCCAATCTTGATAATTCAATAATAACAGTAATCAAAGCGGCAGTTATTCTGAACATATATCTCACGGTTCCATTACCGAATTCTCGAGCTTGCAGAAGAATTTAAGTTAATTAAATTGAAAGAGAAATCAGAAACTAATTTTGCTGTATGTTATTTCTAATAATTTTAATTCAATTTAATTTTATTACAAATTGCAATGAAACTTACTGTTCTTTTCCGCCAAAAGTTCCTGCAGCTAAAGCTACGCAACATAGAAACAACAGAGCAACCTGAAACAAAAAGCAAAATTTAAATTTCAAGCCATTTTATAAAATAACTTTTCGGAAACATTAACTAGGTGACAAATTGGTGCATTCTTAATTTTATTATGGTATAAATTATTCTTTTTTGTTTACTGTCAATGAAATTTACATACACGTTAGCAAATATTTTTAAAATATTCGTGCTTCTATCGTCGTATCATCGTAACTTTTTTAATTAACCAACCAACATTTATCTTCAGAAATGCAGTCATAATGGTTAATAAAATTAGTAATTAAAATTTCCAGTAAGAAAAATTTTTTTCTACAACAAGGATAAATACAACTAAAATCAATACAAAGTGAAATTTTAATACAAACAAAACACAAAAAAATCAAAATAAAAATTTAAATTATAAGCTCAGTATTAAAGAACAACAAAAACAACAAAACAACAAAAAACAGTTCAAAACTTTTTTGCATGGTGAAATTTCGAAAACAGTACGTCTTTTATACAGGGTGTTTTTCAATAAGTGTTCGATATTTCACAGGGCGATTCTTCAAGTACTTAAAGGAAAAATCTAACAACGGACCGCATGGGCTTCTCAGTACTCAGTTTTTTCGGAAAGGTGTTTTGCTGAAACTGATGAAAATAACAAGATTCAATCTATTTTAATATAGGTGCCCCGTACGAAAATAAAATTTACACCAAATTGAATGAAAATTTCATAATAATAATGCTTCGTTTTGGAAGAACTGATCATTCTACAGCACTTACGGATGTCACTGTTAATTAAAAAAAAATTGTTAGCATCATAAAATGTCGTTTGATATTTGATAAAAAATGTAAATCAATATTAAAATTATGATAAAAAAAATTCTAAAAATTTTGACAATGTCTATATTAAATTTTTAAGAAATGGCAATTTAAACTATCGAATACTTGATAAAAACCACCCTGTATACCAGTTTCACACACGCACACCGGCACTGTATCTCACTAAAAGGAAAAAACACTTCATGCAAAAAAAGGAAACCACCCGCATTAATAATAGCACAAACGAATATGTTCTAATTATGCTACTCAAAATACTTACAAAATTTTGGGAAGCCATAATGCATACGACTTCCGCCTAAACGGCGATGTTTGTTGCTCGGGAGGAATGCGATTATTCAACGACAATGCCATCATTTTATACCGAAAGACGATCTTATGCTAAAGTTCGAGAGTCGCGGCGAAAACGAGACACCCCGTACAAAAAGATGGGGGGATGGTGAGTACGGTGATGGGGACGGAGATTTTGACCGCCGCGTTTCCGTCCCTGACCTAGAGAGTAAGTCCATTTCTATATGCGATGTTGTCGGCTCGTTGGCTCATGGATTCTGGTACAGAAAATATTCATTTTTAAATTTATCGCCACATTTTGCAATATTGTTATATATTAGTATCAAATGCTGTGATGCAGTGTTTCGTTCAAAATTAGTTTCCTTCAATTCCCTTATAAAACTATTTTGTACTTTTATTTACTCCTCAAATTAAAAAAAAAAACTTAGAAAGTATAAATAATTATCAGTATTAAACATTTTTTACCCACTATTATAAATACTTCGTATTTTTTGGTCTGTAGCATTGTTATCAATGTAGAAATTTTTTTAATCTCTCTCTCTCTCTCTCTCTCTCGTCTTGTTTTGTTTTGTCACCTTTTATTAATTTTGAATAATAATATCTCTTAGCTTGTATTTATAAAATTATTAACAAATTTATTTTTTGTATTTAGTTCAGCATTTAAGTATATGCAAATATCTTAACTATTATAATTTTGTATTGTAATATAATGCTATCATATTCAGTTTTATCATAGCTTTTATTTTCACTAATATTTAAATTCGTTTAGACACTTCTTTGGCTTGTCTATTTCGGAAGAACAGTAAAGGCGTGTTATTAGATAAAGTGCTAATTGGGTTTTTCGTGTTTTAATTAATCGCGGATTTATTTCTATTATTACTTACTTTCTTTTTCTTTTGTTTCTATTTTATTTTTCTTTATTACGGGTTATATTGTTACAAATTGTATTGTCAAAAAGGTGTATAATATATAGATTAATTGTGTTGGATTAATATTGAGTAGTTGATTTAGTCAGCTATTGAGGATTTAGTATTGTGTATTGTGTATTATGTATATCATGCGTCTCAATTCTCAATAAAGACTATTATTATTATTAATTAGGTAAAACTACAAAATGAAAGCATGTAAAACCGTTTGATATTTGAAAAACCAATACTAACATTTGCAGTTAGATGTTACACTTGCAACGATTTCAGATAAAATGAACTTTTATATACCACAATGCATTTCTTTTGCAGAAATAAATATTTTTGAACCGTCAAATATTTTTTTTCTCTCGTTTCGAGTGTATACAATTTTTTTTATGTAAGGGTGCGAGGTTTTATTTTTCAGTTCGATTTTCTAAAATTTCTCAAAACTGAATAAATTTTATTCTGTTGGCTTAACACTAAGATTTTGATATTTTTCACAAGCGTGCAAATCTTGCCCTATTTCTCTTCAACACAATGATCACTTTTCATAAGCCTATAATTTTTTTTTCTGTCGATAATTTCATTCGTTCAATATTTTCTGTGCTACAGCTAAAAATTGCAAATCTTCTCAGTCTAAGATCTGCCCTTTGGCCTAAATGAAACATTAAAATAATTTTGTTAAGTTTTCCTAAAAAAATTCTTTTAAATCTGGGATTGATGCCTAATAATTTAATTACAAGCAACTAAACTAAAATTTTAAGCACTTTTAAGCAATTTAAAATCAAATCAAATTTTGCGAATAGCTGCAGAAATGCAATCCTTCTAGCTTGTAAAAAAATAAATTTGCAATAAATTTTAAAAAACTACTTCCTGACGTGTACGGCAACGTTGCGATCATAGAGAGTGAAAGGGTGATCTTCATCAGAGCCGATTCACACGTACAATAATAACGCGACAGGAAAACTTTCTTCCAAGGCTACACCAAATGTGCCAAAATAGCCAATAACACTGCAAGCGCTGTACATCAATTACCGAATTAGTCGGTTCGACAAAGGCATAATTCAGTTTTCGTATCTCGTATTTTGTAAAGTAAAGATGCTTTTTTTTTTTGTAAAGTAATAATTTAACAATTTTTTTCCAACAACATTAATTACAACAAAACATTCCCCGACAATAGTTCGTGCACATACATTTAAGGATTTTTCACTGTAAGAGATATAAACGGAACGAGAAGACAGAGACTATACTCATCGTGATTATACAATTCGTACTAAGCACAGAACCAAGTTATTTTATTATTTATTGGCCACTGCTTGAATTTATTCTTTATTTTATGAAATTGTTTATACTTAAATTCAATGGGTAACATGTTAAATAGTTTTGATATCGTATAAAACATATATAGTCTTTCATTTGGAATAATACAGTTATTTATTATTTTGTGCGTGGCTCTCTCGTGATATTTTGTGTTGCTTTGTGCAAGTATTTTTATTTTTTTTAGGCATATCTTACCATACATATTTTATAATGAAATTTATGAATTTGTAATACTTAGGCATCTCTACAGTTTCCGGAAAACTCGAGGGAAAGCTGATATTTTCAGTTTTCATTTTTTTTTTCTATTTTAAAATTTGGCAAAAAATTATAAAGACAATCATCTTATAGGAATTTTCTGAGCGTTATATTTTGCTGAAGTTAAAAATCAAGTGCAACGTTTCGTTTTTCTGAAACCATCATCAATGTTAATTTTTTTGAAGGACGTTATATTGAATTCTTGCTGTTTTCCCTTTTTAGTATTTCAAGTTACTGGTGGACTTTGACTTTTTAAAATAATTTTGCTACCTTGTAAAACCCGCTAACGTTAAAAATATAATTCATTAATCAATGAGAATGTTGGTGTAGATTTTTTATAAATTTTTAAATTGCGTGATATAAAATAAAATCAAAATCCGAAAATTTTAGTTTTGGAACTGTACCCAGTTTGAGCAAGCTTGTATCTAAAACACCGTATATATATATATATATATATATATATATATATATATATATATATATATATATATATATATATATATATATATATATATATATATATATATATATATATATATATATATATATATATATATATATATATATATGTATATAAACAAGAATGGAGTGCCCGGTATATTATCATTTATGCAATACATTGTGTGCAGGCTTTGGTGATCTCTTTATACAGGCGTCGTAATCTATTCTTTTTCATTGCATCTCAACTTGAAACAATATCTTATCAGAAAATCATTGTAAACAGTAAACTACCACCATGCGTAACAATGAAGTCGTATTTCTGTCCGCAAGAGCGGTTCAGCTACACACCTTTCCGAGTGAAACCTGCAGACAACGGATTCGCTTACAAAAGCCGTTGCATAATCGAAAGGAGATCACTTGAACCCATCTGTTACGACACGTGATTTCTTGGTAAGTGTCTGACTTGTTACATCGGAAGAAAGTATACGGTAAAATGCTGCCTTTCACTTGATTTCTTACGATATCTTGGTTCTTAACCCTTTGACATACCGATTGCGGTAACTTTCCAGCCTAAACACCATTACACGACCGGACTAGAGATTATATGTATAATAAATTTAATTAATAATTGCATCCACAGACGCAACGAAGAACTAGTTCTTAATGCTAAATGCCAGAAGATATGTGTGTGCATTAAATGGTTAATAAGGAAAATAAAATAACAGTTATTTCAACTCCAAAAGCTTAGAATTAATTCAAAGAAAAACACCCACTAACTAAAAAGATGCCAGCAAAATTGTGAATATGTTTTGGTTAAAAAACCAGAATCAGCACTAAAATCGTGAATACAACGAATTATTTCTTGTCCTTTTTTCTTCTTTACTGGTACCCTAACAAAATACATTCGAACAAATATGGAATTATGAGTTTTAACGATTTTTGAAATTTAACGTTTCAGATTTCGCTGACTATAGTTTTTTAACAGAAATATAACCCATAATATATTTTAAATATATTTGTGGGCGAAAATTATCTTTAAATTACATTTACTTCCACTAAGAAATATGATGACTGCTAAACTTATTTGATTTAGTTTGATAATGATTCTTTTTGTCATAAAGCACCACTTTTTGGTTGTTAATGTTCGACCCTCGCCATCCCATAAATTAAGGGGTGTTTTTTTTAAGTTGCAATAAAACAACGATGGATTATTCGACTGACATGAATTTTATTTATCCGAAAGATAATCTTGTGGCATTATATTTTAAATATGATTTCTGGCATATGACCGCCACGGCTGGCGCGGATGTAGTCCAATCTGGACGTCCAATTTTCGATGACTTTTTCCAACATTTGCGGCCGTATATCCAATGTATAGACCAATGACTTTACATAGTCCCACATAAAGTAGTCTAGCGGTGTTAAATCACAAGATCTTGGAGGCCAATTCACAGGTCCAAAACGTGAAATTAGGCGGTCACCAAACGTGTCTTTCAATAAATCGATTGTGGCACGAGCTGTGTGACATGTTGCGCCGTCTTGATGAAACCACATCTCCTGGACATCATGGTTATTCAATTCAGGAATGAAAGAGTTAGTAATCATAGCTCTATACCGATCACCATTGACTGTAACGTTCTAGCCATCATCGTTGTTGAAGAAGCACGGACCAATGATTCCACCAGCCCATAAAGCGCACCAAACAGTCAGTTTTTCTGGATGTAACGGTGTTTCCACATTTCCATTCGCTTATGATAATCGGGAACAAGGGCAATCTCGTTTTGGGCCCATTCGACCAATCTACGCCTTACTTGATGATAGTTTGGCTTCAATTCTTGCACGAGTTGGATTTTGTAAGCACGTAAGCCAAGATCCTTTCGCAAAATCATAAAGTGGATGGACACAGATCCAATTTCTGTGCTAGATGGCGGATAAACTCATTCGGATCTTCCTCAATGCTACGCTCTGCAGCAGCATATAGCGTCTTCTGTACGCACCGTACGGCGTCTCTGGGGATGCGAGTTATCAATAAGAGTAAACGTGGTGCGAAAACGTTCATTCACGATTTGGTCGACGATAAAATGGACGTAGTGCGCGATACGTATTCCGCACAAAACCATTATTTTCGAAATAAAATTGCACTATTTTCAAGCGTTGTTCAGGCGTGAGTCTATTCATGATGAATTGCCAAACCAAACTGAGAATAAATCACTTGACAGCTGTTAAATCGGTCGCCATCTTGAACAGTAATGCCAACTTAATGTTCTATACATCGAAAATAATAACCCTATGCAAGTGTTTGTTATGTGACATTACATTACAT